TAAGACAAATAGTGGGTTTATAAGCCCTTGGGTTCCCTCCCCTTGCAAGCCAGTGTTGCAAGGGTGAGTTCTACCTAATGGGTTTGTAACACAGAACTAATGTAATCATAATAGGAATAATTCCTGATTAATAACAAATTCAAGAACTGATTATTTAGCTAATCCAGACAACACAGAAACCATATTAAGTTCTTACAGTCTTACAGAAAGCATAAAAATCCAAATGAATGCTTCATTTCACTGGAAGCTATTTACCAGAAATTGAAGAATAAACGGAATGTGTGCTTCATGTGGTTGTAAACATTTATCAAGAACGCCACCACTCTGAAAAGAAAGTATTACTATAATTAAAAAAAAAAAAAAAAATAGCTCTACGAACCAGAATAAGCTCCACCGATAATGACTTAAAAAAAAAAACACATACACACACAAACATAGGATGAGGATCTCAACATTTAAGGTCAGCATAGAATAACCGCTAGGCATGCAACTCAACTGCAGTTCTAAATTGTTCTTATCAAAGGTAAAAAATAAATAAATAAATAAATTCCATACTCGGAAACATAAATAAGTAAAGGCAAACCAAAGACAAAATATATGTACTCCTGTAAACTCTAACTTTATGGTTTCTTCTAAAACGAGCGAACAAAGTACTAAAGGGGGGCCCTACCCATCCGAAATGAATCTGAAATGATATGTTGTCTAAAAGAATAAAACTAAAGGAATTATAGATATCCACAACATAGCAGCATGGTTAGCAACAAAGGAATACAAGTGAGATGGTATTCAAGATCTATACCAGAAGGAGATTAGCAGCACGAGAGACATCATGGGGGTAGTAGCTTATATTTTGTCAAGGTACTCGAAAATTCTATTTTGGACCATAAAAGAGTAAGGGACAAAAGAAAAGGATACAAGAATATCTTCACAAAGAGCTCCTCTGATGAATGATAACCATAAAATTTTCTTGCTCGGACAAGGCTGCAACCATGAACATGTTGCCGTTTCGAGCTTGTCTTACTTTTATGCTGGAAGATTTCAAGCATTGTACTTTAGCATCCAAAATTTGCATAGCAAAAGAACAAAGAGCATAGAAAACAAATACAAGAGTAAGAGGAGAACTCAATCTGATGCAAGGAGGCATTCCTACCTTTAAGGCTTTCTCCATGGCGAGAGATATTTCATGCGCGTATGCATCACCTATGCAACCAAAAAATAGTAGAAACCCTAAATTATTTTGTGCCCCGAAAGACGCGTATGCCCCGAAAGAAGAGAAGAAGAAGAAGAAGAAGAAGCAAATTTGCAAGTCCCTCTGACAAAAACATCTATTTCAATCTTCATTTAGACATTAGCTCAGACAAGAAGAAGAAGCAATCTTGACAAAAACATCCATTTCAATGTTCATTTAGACATTAGCTCAGACAAGAAGAAGAAGCAAATAGAAGAAGAAGAAGAAGAAGAAGCAAATTTGCAAGCCCCTCTGACAAAAACATCTATTTCAATCTTCATTTAGACATTAGCTCAGACAAGAAGAAGAAGCAAATTTGCAAGTCCCTCTGACAAAAACATCTATTTCAATCTTCATTTAGACATTAGCTCAGACATGAAAGATGCTACTGCTATATACCTTCTTCCTGAGAGTGAATATCGGCACATGGCACATACAGATATGGAAAAACCTACCCAACAAAAAAACAAAAAACAAAAAACAAAAAATCAATAATTATAAATAATTAGCACAAAGAACACCAAAGAATTATTTTTTACCGCTGCCACAAAGGCGTATTCCACAAGGAACAGAAATCATACGTGCAAATCAACCATGGAAATTGAGGGGAAAAAAAATAGAAAAATTTTAACGCTTATATCAAAACATTTGAAAAATGTGACCGCAAAAATCTAATATCAAAATATTAAATAACAGTGAAATGAAAAAGGTAGAAAGTAAGCTTACTCGATGGACGTGCAAGCAAGTTTTCTGACCAGCAGGAGTCGAGCCGTATATTCTTATAACAGGAACCTCATTCACTTTCCCGCCTAATAAAAAAAGATTCAAAAAGGAAATCAGACTTTCAAAGATAAAGGCCCCCATTTATTTCACTAATTCGAGTTTTTAATTCTAGATTTTTAGAGTAAAAAACTATCAGAAAACGTCACATTTAACTTTTTCTGCTACAGTTAAAAATTTTAAGAAAATATCACATCTTAACTCGAATTGAAAACTCGAATCCGCGGAGCGAATAAACCGTAAAATCAAAATTTTCGAATTACAGGAATTTTGGCACCGTTAATTTATGAAAAAAAAAAAATCAACAAAATCAACCCATTTTGCAGACAATAAACAATCAAATTCCAGAAACTAGACTAACCCTTGGGGCCGGCTCAACCCCTAGGCAACTTAAGCAATTGCCTAGGGCCCCACATTTTTAGGTACTGATTAAGGTCCCACTTTTTTGGAACTTGAAACCACAATAACCTATTTTTTAGGCATTATAAGATTATAAATTTAAAAAATCTTTTAATTATGCATTAAAAGACCTTGTTTTTAGAGATTTCAAACGTCCAAAATGGAGCATAAATCATCCAAAAAACCAGAGAAAATATTAGGAGAAGTACTCTTGAAACGTTCTCTAACTTCAAACAACTTTAAAAAAAATAAAATAAAATAAAATAAAATAAAAAAACCGAATTATTAAATGGTTTAAATAGCACACTTCAAATAGCACCATTTAGATAAACAAAAGACTTTTTTTTTTTCAAATATAAACAGACGACGCTTTCTTAAGTAGAAAATTAAGGATAATCTTATTTTTTTTTATTTTAAAGAATAGTACTTTCATCTATTTTTACTAAAAAAAAAAAACAGAAAACTATTTTAGATTATCTAGGTTGAACAAGTTTTAAATTATTTGTGCATAAAACTTTTTTCTCCCAGACTAAACATTTTCTCTTGCTCATTTCTTATTAATTTATTAATTACTATTACTTAAATTTCTTTGTAGATATTTTATAACTATTTAATTGAATTCATTTCAAATATTTTAATTATTTTTTAATAAAATATGAAGATGTAATCGATGTTTTATTAATTTTTGAACCCCACACCCACCCCCCAATTTTTGCTTAAGGCCCCAAAATTCCTTGAGCCGGCCCTAACCCTAAACGCAAACTGAAAACGAAGAAGAAAATCACTATTCAAGCAAAATCATGGTAACCAAACAGAGCTCAAGTAGTAGTGTGGGGTACCGTGGAAGCTACTGTAGGAGATGTCGAGGCCTGGAATCGGCGCCGCCATGTAGTGGTCGACGGCGACGATGCGGAGGCTGAAGGTCAGCGATTCCGCCATGGGGCTTTGCACGAATTTACAGAAATGCCCCTGGAGGACGACGGATTTGCTTGACGCTTATGAGGGTAAAAAATGAGAGACCATCTGATTCTTTTGGAGGGAAGGCAACGAACTTGTTTGGCGCAAACAAGAAAAAGACGGCTTTTTATTTTGGGTTTTTCCGAAAGGAAAACTTGCTCCGTACTCTTTTTCGAGTTTGTCACTTTGGTCCACAAGGTTTATGAAAATTACAACACTCGTCCGTTCCTGGTCTCCTTGTTCTGCAAGAGCAAGTGCAATGGAATGGAGTTGGACCATGGGCTTCTGCTTTAGATTTTGTTAAAGGTACCTGTTAAAATATTTTATAATTACCAAGGAAAACAAACTGAATTGTCAATTTTGTGATTCTACATAATCTACCAATAAAATGGATAAAACAGCTTTAAAATTAGAAAAATAACATTTTACTTACCACGGGTTAAATTTTAAAAGCCCATTAAAATTCAATAGACAAGTAATGGTTCTCTCAAAGAAACCATGAATATATAAGATGCAAGAGAAAGCATGTTTTTATCAAAAATAAATTAAAAACAAATATTTTATGATCAAAGGTGCAGACATAAACGAAAGCATAAGAAACAACTAGTTTATGGATGAGGAGAATTCTATTAATACCCTACTGATAGGACTTTTTTTAGAGAGCGTTACATTTGTATCTGGTTTCATTAGTTTTACATCATTTTTTTTATTTGATTTTCAACAAATATAGAAGTAGGAGTACTTATAATGAGAAAAAATAAAAATAAAAATCTTTACATAAGTTATAAAGCAGTGATTGCCTTACAATAAAAAAAAAGATATGTAAGTACCTTTTACCGTCCTGTCCCGGTGGATTCATGTTCACCTGAGTATAAAGCCACCAAAAGTTCTTACAAGCCAGTTGGGTCTCCTCGAAATAACGACATATCCAGTGATAAGCCCAATCACTAGTCCACATCCATATCCAATTGCTACTGCTTTCCAGCCGAAACCAAAACCATACCCTGACTCTGATTCTTGGCTATGGTACCTCGACAATGGGGGCCCACATAGTCCCAAATTTCCCTCAAAAGACGAATTTAGGAATGTGCTAAATTGTCTCTCTTGTGGTATTGGGCCGGTGAGTTGGTTTTTGGAGAGATTAAGGCCCATTCACTTTGCTGATTCGAATTTAGAATTTGAGTTGAGATGTGATTTTATGTGAGAATTTTTTATTGTAATAAAAAAATTAGATGTGATTATTTGTGAGAGCTTTTTATTGTAAAAAAAACTTAAATTCTAAACTCGAATCAGCAAAGTGAATAGGCCTAAGATATTGAAGAAATGTGAGCTTAGTTAGTTCCTGAGGAATTTTACTTGAGAGCTTGTTTGTGGAGAGATCCAATGACTCAAGTTCAGTCAATTGCCCCAAAGATGATGGAATGGGGCCACTGAAATTGTTGCTTGACAAGTTGAGCGCAACCAGTGACCGAAGATTACCTAAAGATCTTGGAATTTCTCTGCGAAATCTATTATTGGAAAGATCAATGCACACCAAGATAGGTAAAATTTTTTAATACGCCAGTTCGTTGCCCTTATCGATCACCGTCACCGGCTCGTCATAACTGATACCACCCATTGCAGGCAAATATGCATTTTAAAAAGTAGTGTATGGCTCTTGATCAGAAGGAGCTTTTGCCATGGATGTCCAACTCTTAAAGAACTCCGATGGTAAAAGTCCACTAAAATGATTAAAAGAGAGGTCGAGAATTTGCAATTCTGCAAACGCCAAAGGTTTGTTTGGAGACCATATAGGACCATGGAATTTATATGATACCAACATAAGAACCCTCAAGTTTGGCAAATTTTGCAGCCATGAAGGAAACACATCACTCATTTGATTGTAACCGAGATTCAGAAGTTCCAACTTTTGACATTTGATCAAAGACTGTGGAACCTTGCCTTGCAAATGGTTGTGGCTAAGATCCAATGCCTTAAATATCTCACAACCATATTCTGTGAACATATTATTGGATAAGTTTCCATGAAAGTTATTATCTTGCAAATGCAGCACCACGAGTTCACTTGAGTTACCGAAACATTGAGGAACGGTACCATTCAAGCGATTCTTGGAGAGATCAAGAACAAGGAGTCCGATTTTACAAAGTATGGGATCAACTGCTCCAGTTAAGTTATTAGCGTGTAAGTCTAACAAGCGCCATGTCTCCCATGGAGTAACTGAAGGGGATTCTTCCCACCCGTCGATAAAATTGTCAGAAAGATACAATTCAGACATAAAACTTTTCCCTATTGTCCAGAACCATTTGGGAATTTTGCCTGAAATTTTATTGTTGGAAAGATCCAAGTGAGCTAATTCATCTTGCGTTTTCAGGAAATCTGGAAACCGCTTTATGTTTGACGAAGACAACTCCAACACACTAAATTTGGGAAAAGTGACATTCACACCTTCGTTTGGCATTGATATGTTGTTGTGCGACAGATAGAGACATGAGAGGTGGCTAAGTTCCGAGAAGATGCTAAGCTCAATGGTTAAATTATTAAAACGAAGGTCAAGAGACCACAATGAGCTTGAAGAGATGTTGTCATATTCAAGAGAGGTGAGCTGGTTTTGGTCAAGCCGTAGCTCTTCCAAGAGAGGTATTCTGAATAAGGAAGACGGAATGGCTCCGGCAATTGAGTTGTTTGACAAGTCAAGAGAAGTGAGACCTGCAAGTTTCTCCAATGCATTGAAAGGATCAAAGAGCTTTGTCAATTGGTTACAAGAAAGATCCAAGACCGAGAGACGATTTAGATTCGCCAATGATAATGGAAAGTCTCCCGTTAAAACATTGGACGAAAGACGCAAAAGGCCTAGTTGCCTAAGGTTTCCAAGGGTTGGCGGGATTTCACCGCTAAAACTATTCCATGAAGAATCTAGATCTTCTAGTTGCATGAGATTTCCAAGTGAAAACGGAATATGACCGCTAAAACTATTTTGTGAAAGATCAAAGCACTTCAGTTTTATGAGATTTCCAAGTGAAGAGGGAAGTTCCCCATTAAATCTATTCGATGAAAGATCCAAATCTTCCAGTCGTGTTAAGTTTCCAAGCGAAGAGGGAACTTGACCAACGAAACTACTATCACTAAGTAGCAATTTTTTTCAGCTTCACGAGGTTTGTTACTGAATTCAAAATTTGGCTGTCGAAGTTACAGTAGGAAAGATCTAACTCCTCCAATTGCGTGAGGTTTCTAAGTAAACGTGGCAAATCACCTATGAATTCATTGCCAGAAAGGTAAAGAACAGTGAGCTTTTTTAGGTTTCCCAAATTAGTTGGAAGCGGACCATTGAAGCTATTTATTGAGAGATCAAGACGTTGGAGTTGAGAAAGGTTTGAAATAGAAGAAGGAATGGTGCCTGAAAGATTACACTCTCCAAGATTCAAGATAGTCAAGGACTTAAGGTTTCCAATTGAATCAGGCAATTTTCCAGAAAGTTCAAAACTGCTGGAAATATCAAGCGATTTCAAGTTACTGTCAGATCGAAATTCTGGTAGAAAACCAAAAGTACTGGTGGAGGAAAATGGCATATTAATTGCCTCAATCTTAGGCAAGTTGAAATTGGTCCCACTTTCCTTGAAATTTTTAAGCCCAACCCTTATTGAGCCAGAAATAAGCCCAATAATGTTAAAATTACGCTGCCTAGACACAATCATACAAGAATTGGACATGCCCACACCGGAAACACGTGACCCAACCCTCATTTGGCTGGAATTTCAAAACTCAGCCCCACCGACCAAAGGTTTTGAGCCAAACTTCCATGTCCTACACATAATATCACCGGAATTGAGTGGGTCACTACTATTCCGGCTGGAAACAGCCTCAACATCGCCGGAATCATGTGTCCTAGTCCAAACCGCAGCCAAATCGCCAAGCCCAGCCTTAGCCGCGCCGGAAATTGTGAGCCCAGCGCCCCAAACGTCGCCGGGCGAGACCGCCGCTCCCCCTCTGACCACAGCCCACTGTCAAATCGCCCCCATCTCTGCCTTTCCACGTCTGTCAGCGCCCTTTCCACCGTTTTTCCTTCGCGCAGCCTCTAGTCGTAGTTCAGCTCCAGCCCATCACCAATCTGCACTCCACGGCACCGCTCCCACCGATATGACCTCCAGGTCGTGGATCCAAAAGATTATGGTCGAATTGTAACTCTCGCCAACCCTGAGCACCACCCAGGCTAAATCCGGCGTCGATCGGCCCTCCTCGTAGCAGATATGGGCTTTCCAAGCCCCAATCGGCGTTGATCTACTGGCCCAGTCGCAGATTGGGTCAATTATGGTCGAGATCGACCCCTCCGCTACGCGGGTTCTCCTCGCGTTCAGCCACCTTCCCCTTCGGCAGTCTAATCTACCCTTCCTTGTGCGGTTCCCCACGATTCTGGCCAACATCTCCAAGTCTGAAAACCCTAGCCTCTTCTCTGAGAAGATATGCCTCCGTCCCTGGCCTCCGATCCTCATTCGCCCTCAGATTGACGCCGATTGACTCAGATTTGAGCGATATCGCACCAGATCGCGAAAAATTGCTCGGAGTGCCGTCAGCCTCACGCGATTCTAGATCTCTTCGCATTTTCTCTAAGGTCATTCATCAGTTTTGACGTTCCAAATCTGGTTGCGACGAGCCACTGCCAGAAACATGAAGATCTAAAATCATTCCTATGTTATGTGGCCAAATCTTCATATTCGTTTTCGAAAGCAATCTTTGTGTAAGAAAGTGCTCTGCTACCAATTTGATAAGAACCAAGAAAAGATTATTATTGAAAACAAGAATTAGACTCGATTACAAGATAGATTGGCAGACATTCGAGAAGTCTGCTAGCTCTCCCAAGAGTTTTCCCAGTTTATTCTAATCAATCCCTCCTTTAGTCTCTTTCTTTTCCGTATATACTATTACTAGCTTAACAAACATAATAAACCAACCCTAATAACAAACCACTAACCACCTATTATATTGATTACTAATTACTAAAACATAATAAACCAACCCTAATAACAAACCACTAACAACTTATTATATTGATTACTAATTACTAACATAATCCTATTAGCAACC